CCAGCCACAGAGAAGTTGACCTTTTATGCGACAAAAAGTTCCAAATCAAAGGAAAATAGCCAAACATCCAACCATTAGAGCTGGTTTCTATCGCTAACTTTACACCCACAAGTGAGTTTTCTACTACAGACATCAAAGGGGAGTTAGGAGTGTATCCTCAACAGACCAGTTAATCAGAAACCAATGAAAATGGAAACTGCTGAAAAATTTAAAATGCTAAGGATTTGCAGTGGGTAGGAAGAGATTCGTATGGGGTTTTGTGATTTGGGCGGCTTTATTATCCCACTCAACCCTAAGATCATCGTTCTAATAGCAGCCGTATATACAGCATTTTAATCTCTTCCACGAGCCACTTATTTCTGTAGACAGGCTGCTTGGGGTATTTGGCGCCATGTGTAATGACAAAGATTAGTTTCAGCTCATACTCCGCGAGCTTCATGTTGTTCAAAATGCTCAGCAGGCAGTTTACCAGTACCAGATGAACAGCAGCTCAGTAACAGAACTGAATTGAAAAGAAGGGTGTGGCTCATCAGTGCCGTAGCCAGACCAAACGGCCAACCGAGGCAGGCGGGAGTTGCTAGGGGGGTTCGGGGGCATGCCCCTCCCCCCTCCCCGAGAAATTTTGAACTTTAGTCTCTCGGAAATGCGATTTGCAGCGTTTTCTGGGCCTTTCGGTAACTTTTTTTCGAGTTAATTTAAGTGGAATTTAAAAACAATAATCAGAAACAAGCTACATAATCTGGGTGACCGTTAACCTCGCCAATGGTTTTGATCAGTATTTGTTCAAAAAAAATTTGAGTTAACGTACGTAGCCGCTTGAGATCGATGATATGGTAATTTTTTCATAGTATATTGACTGAATTGCTGAATTCTTTGTAATATCATGATGCGTTAAAAATATCCGATGATCGCTTATGTAAAATAAAAATGATCGGCGAAATTCGTCAAAATTTTACGGAGGCGAGTGCCTCGGTTGGCCTCATACTAGCTACGGCGCTGCTCATTCATTGCTTATATAACCACAAGTCATCTTATTCAAAATGACGGTAGGTGCACCAAGTAACGAATCTGTGTATCCATTTTTGTGCAAAGCAAAACAGAAACACCCTTCTAAAATCGGTGAAGAATAATAATCGAAACAGTGAAATCTTTCCATGAATAAGAAGATGAGAATTCAAATGGTGAAATGAGATTTTACTAAGGAAATTTATTCCGCATACTTTAAAACTGTGCTGCACACATCCCAGCAAACATAAGTTAACGCTCTTGCATCTTGTTTGCATAAACTGAAACAGGCTGACAATTACTTCGTGGTCCAGACATTTCATATTAGTTTAAGTGATCATCAACAGTTAAATCAGAACCCATTCCACCAATGAGGCTATGCTAGTTATTTTAGTTATCCATGTATAGTATGGACGCCAAAGAAAATGATGTCAGTGTCACGTGGGCGCTGAGTCCTGATCTAAGCTTGCATTGGTGTTGAGATCTCTGACATCATTTGCCAACTGAATGAATGTAATCGAAAAATTTGTGGGATATGTTTCTTGAAAGAGAAATTAAGGACAATCGATTTTCACGTAATCAATGCAAATTCAAGCACAGTGAGATACACAAGCCCACTTGATTATCGTAGATCCCATCACGTGGGACATTTTTTACCTTGCGTTTGCGTTAGCCCGCGAGCAAGCTCTCCATTTCGATTAACATCCCTACCTCTTGCGTCTCCTTTTGAGTGCAGTTTGCACGTGACTTTTCACGATAGCCCCAAATAGACAGCTGGAAAGTCGGCTGCACTTGTTTTTTCCTGGTTGACAAGCGTTAAGTGCAAACAAAAGCGTTTGGGGAAAGAGTTAGTTCAATTGGTTTTTTAGGCTTGCACTTGCGTTTGGTTTTTTAGCCCTCATTATCTTCAATAAAACGAGGCAAGAAGTGAAAAAGAAGATAAAGTGACCTTCATAGTGTTTCCTCAACTCGAGTGGTGCTCATGCAACATACCTGTCGAGCAGTGTATGAATGGGATATGTGTAGGGAACAACACTTCTGCGGCATACAAGTCTAAAGGTTGTGGCAGTCTGTGGCTATGAACTCATTAATGAAAGAAAAACTGCTTCTTTGGGACGGTGTCGATTCACCATTGGCAAAACTGACATCTACAACTATCTTGAGGATACAACCATCAGAAAAGGGGGCTCTTCAATTCCTTCAATATGGCAAATTTAAGGAAAAAGTCTATGTCATGTGACTTTCGATTGTCGTCTGTGGAGAAAAAACCTCTGCAAAAAGCGCCGTGCGATCACAATTTTTGATCAATTCAGGCTTTTAGGCAATGGTCTATGAATCCAACTCAAGATGACTGCACGCAGGGCTAACTGGAGGCTTGAGGCCTCGTTTTCATGTAATGATTTGCATTTGTATGGTAAAAACAGCCGTTGATAATCGGACAATAGTTGCTAGAGTGTTATCATTTGAACTTGCCTGAAAAAGTGCCCCTTCTCACCCCCTTAAACACACAAATGCACAGAAGGCAGCTTCAGTACAGGACACCCAACAATAGCCCGCCATATTTGGAAGGAGAGGTCACGTGACACCAAAGAAAGCATGACAGTAAAGCAAATGTCTTCTTCCACAATATCTACGACTTTTATTTACAGAAACACTCAAAAATGGTATTTTAGAAGGATTTCCACTAACAGCCTCGTTTTCATGTAGGCCATTTTAGGGCCTGCGCAGTACTCGTGTCCAGTGTTGAGTTTGGCTTGGCTCCATATCCAAAAATGTTAGTCTTAGGGTTGGTTGTAATCTGGCAAAGTTTCATGCTTTTATCATAAAAGTGAACAATTTTGGTCGATAACAGCTGGACTATAATGACAAAAACTAAAAGACTGTTTCGAAAGAACAAAGTGGCGCTAACTCACTCGAACCGAAAGGGTGGTCACTGAGATGAATTGGTTAACGGCAAACCAGACTGACAACCGCTGAGTGAACATATGCATTCTCTTTTATGTGGAAGGAACGACTTTAAACATTGGACGCGAACCTCATTGATCTGAACCACTCCTTGTAATAAATCCGCAACCACCTATCAAAGACACCATAAAATCACTTAACCCTCACTTAACAGGCAGTGGCTATATTTAAAACCCTTTGTTAACAACCATTGCCACTTTTTCTGATAGTGATAGAGGTAGGAAAGAATTTATTTATTATGAGGCGTACAGGCGGAATAATTAGATCACAATTATGCATTATTCTTTGCTTTTTTCTCCAAATTATTCATTATTCATTTTAAGTTTTTCTGTCATATTTATTCGTTTCATTCTTTCAGTTTTTGTATCAGTTTTCCTTTTCAAATTCCCCTTCTGTGAATTATATAACTAAAGAAGTGAAAGCTGTGATATTGAGTAACTTTTGACTCTCACCACACATATCACAAAGTAAGAGAATTGTACTGCAAAAACGAGGTAGAAACCTTGAGATAAAACAATTTATGTAATTTATTTTAAGTGAAATTTTCTATAATTCTTTAATTTGGTTATCAAAAGTTTACATTTCAGTATACATTCAACCTTATCTCTAGCAGGTACCTTTCTATATTTTCTATACATGTGGTTAAAATAAAGTTATATCCGTTCCGATCACTAGACCTTGTCACGGTTTGGGAAACTCTTGTCCAGTAGACAACGGCGTGAGAAATTACAGTGTTTGTATTACAATTTAACGTCAAATAATTTCCGTTAAACGGTTGTTCTGAGAAAAAAAAATGAAATGTGAGCTAAAACTACACAGCAAAGGATTTTACTGGGAACTTTGGGGGCCGTGACTGTGCTTAAATTTCTCAAGACGCTTCAGTTGCTTTAGATTTTCCATATACAGTGTATTTGTCTGCAATTTTTCCAGGCCGGAACTTTTAGTCGGCAGGAGGAGAAATTTTTACAATGTAGTACGGGTAGACAAAAGAACATTCTACCAGGAACAAGTTTTCTCCATTAAATGGGGCCTAAGTGGCTGAACTAGCCTTGCTTTACAGAAACAACAAGCAACAAAGTTCAAAACAACTACAGAACATGTGCATGTAAGAATGCAAAAAAAGGAAACGTTTATACATTGGATAAGATGAACAGATGTTTTAACAGTCTTCACTTTTTGTACTTTAATCTGTATTTTTAGAAAATGAGAGAGTATGGAAAAATCAGTATAAGACTGGAAGACTTTCCAGGAGGGGCAAAATTTAAATTACTGTATTATGTACAAAATACATTACCTTGGGGGAGATGAATATAGTTTCATAACTTTTATCATATTTCCACAAGCCAAACTGGCCTTTGACAGGTGTAAGGCGTTGTTAACACTATGACTCAATTTAAAAATAAGAGGAGGTTCACTTAGGTCATTATTTGATTGATAATAACTGACCGATTTCACGCGCGGTTATTGGTTATTGTCTATGCGAGAGAGCGTGCGAACGAAATACACGAATGCGTATTTCTGTTCCCTGTCACATTCAACGAGGGTTGCAATTTTGTCACGTGCACTCTTGTCTTTCTCTCGCTATGCTATCATTGCTGAGAAAATTTCACAATTTCACAAATCATTTATATAGTACAGTCTGTCAAACCTCTTACGAAAACAAAAAGGGGCAGATTTCAGAGGTGCTATTACTAGAGAAGTTGTAAAAGTATGAAAGTTGGTATATTTTTTTATCTTTGAGACCAAGAGAATTACCCATAAAAAAAACAAAGCAAATCTAGAGTTGTTCATATTAGAGAGTTTTTCATAAGGAGGGTTTTAACTGTATCTTTATTATTTACCTCCTTATCGCGTAGCAAGTGAAGAGAGGAGGACCATCACTGTACCCATTTTATGGCCAGTAGTTCCTGGTACAAACAGAATATCCTCTCATCCGTTCCAGATGACGCTGTATCTCCAAAAGGAGTATAGCCATTTGACTTGGCATAAGTGCATTGCCTACTGCCATTCACGTGGGCATGATCCTATCTGGCAAAGGATAGTCAGAATGAATGACAAGGGAGTGACCCACTATTACAACGGCACAGATGCGTTATACACCTTGTTCGATAATGGCATTCTGGAGATCAGAAACGTGACCGTCGCCGATAATTATACGGAATACCGAAGCGAAGTGCGTAGTGCATGGGACTTGGACCCAGAACACATATTGCTTTTCTTCTATGAAAATGAAGGTAAAAAAGCGCTCAACAGTCTTTTTTGGCTAAGTATTTAACTAGATCTAAGTTTCGTCGCTTTAGATGATAAATATTATTGCATTCGTCAATATATAATTATATGTTTTTTAAGATCAACAAGTGAAAGCAAAATGCTAAGTTCCTCATTTAACAAAACAACGTGCTCACAGAAAAAAAAAAGAAAACGGACAAACAGACAAAAATAAACAAACCGAAAACATCAAGAAAAGCAAAGAAGTTTTCCATATTGCTATTCAGGGGATCCATAGGGTAAGAAAGTCTTTTACATGGAAATAAAGCATGTTTGGTAGGGACAAGTTAGACCTCGTCTTTTTTAGTTTTCTAAATACTGCTATTGCGGGACAAAATTCAGTTGCGCCACGACAAAATGTCATAAAGAATGAAATTCAACTTATATGTTTCTTAGTGAGTCTTTGTCTGTCAGGGTGACATTAATGACCCAGATTTCTCAGTGTACCATACCTCATTCACCATATCCCAAATGTTGCAAAGCTACTACCAGGTCTGCAAACACTAATCGGCAATTTTTTCCGGGAAATTTTTACAATTTTGCTCGGGTAGACAAAAAGAACATTCTACCAGGGACAAATTTTCTCCACATAAACAGTGGGGCCTAAGTGGCTGAACTAGACTTGCTCTACAGAAAAAACAAACAGCAAAGTTCAAAACAACTACAGCACATGTACATGTAAGAATGAAAAAAAAAAAAAGACGTTTATATTGGGACGCCCTTTCAACAGGTTAATAATACGTCGTAGGGATTTTGTGTGCATGCGACGGCCTTCGCTTACTGTCATTAAATACAGAGATCGTGCTGGATTTTAATGGCCACTTAAGTGGCGTTTAATTGACAAAAATCACTAACAAGTTGTGATTACATGAAAGCACACTGTTATAACGAAATTATAAATCACTATGACATTTCAACTCAGGAAAAATTAGGTGGGGACAAATTACGCCAACCGCCACACGCTGTGGCAAACCCCACCAAGGCCGAACACGCACACCAAGCACAAAAACAAATGGCGCAGTCAGACATTAGAAAAAACCAGGCCAACCTCCAATGTGTTGCCGGTCTGGTATAAGAATAATGGTAATCGGCTCTCCAGCCCATACCTGCTGAGAGCCGATTAATCCTACAGGCATTGAGGAAAACGTAAAAACATAACCGACGAAAAAAGGCCCAAGACAGGACAAAAATTACGAAGTGAAAATAACGCTAGTCCATACATCAGAAACACCAGGCCAATCTCTGACGTGTTTCCGGTCCGCATAATAAGAATAACAATAAAATCGTCTCTCCAGCCCATGCCTGCCGAGAGCGATAACTTTGAATGATACGGACCTTAAATATAATTTCTTTGTGAACACCAGGCAGTTCTCCAGCCCATGCCTGTCGAGAACTGATTATTAGGTCGTTCTAAACGGGTTACCAGCTCGTGACTGCAATAACCGGAAACGAACCTAATTAATTTGCCCACGCAGTTGGCGATCGTATGTACAACTTAAATACATCGGATTTCCAACGACCAAGACCCCGAATCTGCGCGTCAGACATGCCGTTTTCTGCTGCCAGACTAGCTGCACCAATGCGAAAAGAGTGCGATTTGTAACTGGAACAGTCTAAATCACAAAAAGCAAGGGCTCCTTTGAGCTGCCGCGTAAACACCTCCGTTTTGGCGGCTGAGCCGTCAGCTAGGCAAAAAAGTGGACCAGAATTGGATCCTCTCATCCGGCACCAGCAGTGTACGGTCGACTCTCGGTGAATAATTATGGAAAAAGGACGCCCGGTTGTGTTATGTTTATAATCCGTGATGACAAGTTTGGCGGCCTGTACTTCATTGCGTGATTTTAGAAAAGACAGTGACTGAAACTGGAGAACGGAATGTCGCCGCTCAGGGGTCTTGGTCGTTAGTTCAACCACTCGAAAAAATCCATAAAAGGCCACTAGAAACATTGTTTGGAATAATAAAATCTGATAGGCGGCCGTGATGGTGTGATTTAAAGCCTGCACCAATTTATGTAAGATAGAGCGAGTGATAGGCAACCGTAAGTCCGGTTTCGAGCAGAGCCTGCTTTGAGCAGTCATGATCTTGTGTACAACAAATGCTTTGGTGGGATCAGAGAAAGATCCAATTTTATGGACATAGCTCAATGCGGAAATGTACGTCGAAATTGTAGAAGGTGCCAATTTCTTGGCCGACAACTAGGCCACAAAAGTACTATATCACTGGCACTCAGTGGAAGCTGTGGGGAAGCTGTGCCACAGTATCGGGTGGAAAAATCTAAGAAATGATGCCATGCTTGTTCGTACGTTTTGCGTGACCCCGGTGATATAGCAGAATGCATTAAGCGTTTTAAGTTAGCTTCTAATTCTGCGGTAGTAGGCTGCTCGGAACCGGGGTGGGTTGAACGTCCGCGTGTGGCGCAAGAAGCTTGAATTTGTCTACCTGTAAGCGAGACAGTAAATCACATTCTCGGTTTAAAATGCCTGGTATGTGTTTAGATTTGAAAAGAATGTTATATTTGAGACAATTTAGCACAAGTCTGCGAACTAAGACCATGATTTTTGGTTCACGGGAGGTCTGTTTATTGATGATATCGACCACAGCGTGATTGTCCGAAAAGAAAACAATGCAATGATTGCGCATGATGTCGCCCCAAATCTCGGTTGCCAAAACAATAGGAAAAAGCTCTAGTATGGTTATATCCCGGGGGGCACTTGGGTATTTTTTGGGTGGGTATGTGCCGCCCGGGACTCCAAAATGGCACCCCGTTCTGGAAAAAATTTCCCCTAAAATTGATACCCCGTTCTAGAAATGGGCCAATTTTTTATACCCCGGTCTAGAATTCGCCCCAAAACTGATACCCCGTTCTAGAAATGGGCCAATTTTTTATACTCCGTTCTAGGGTGCAACAAGAGTACAACGGTTTGCTTGTTAACGCATTGAACCGTATTTTTAAAAGCAATCTGTCCTTGAATACTTTCAAATGGCTGCCAACAAAAATGGAGCTTTCGTGCGTTCGAAATATTATACCCCGTTCTAGAAAACGCCTCTGAAATGGATACCCCGTTCTAAATCAGGAGCTTCAAAATCACGACCCCTTTGGGCGGCACATACCCGTATATGTAATGTATGGGAGTACCCCCCCTCCCCCCGGGGGTTATATTCAGAGATTTCCAACAATCCGGCCAATGTCCGTAAAACCAACGTTTGCCTAGGACTGCGGCGTAGCCTAGAGAGCCCGCCGAGTCTGTATAAAGTTTAGTGGTACTAGATGTGAGCCACTTCCCAGATAAGAAAAAAGATTTCCCGTTAAACGAATTTAGAAAATTGAGCCATAACAAAATGTCCTCCTTACACTGTCTCGTGAGACGAATGTGATGATAAGGCTTACTCACACCTTTAGTCAGATCAATCATTCTGCGGAGAAAAGCACGACCGGGAAGGACAACCGAGCACGCAAAATTCAATAACCCTATAAGCGACTGCAGTTCCTTCAGGGTTACACTGCGTTTGTTATAGAATTCCGTTAACAACCCCCGGCAACGTGCGAGCTTATCCTCCGGCAAACGGGCGTGCATGTTAATTGTGTCAAGAGTGATCCCAGCAAATTGTAAGCAGGACGCGGGACCGACGGTTTTCTCATCTGCGATAGGGACTCCGACCTCGTTGCACAATTTCATAAAGTTATCTAAATCCCTATGACACTTGTCTCGCGAAGGTGCTAAAAACAGAAAATCGTCTAAGATATGTATGACAGCGGAAGCTTGTAATTTGGCTGTGGCAATCCATTCGAGCGCCGTGCTAAATGTCTCAAATATGTTGCACGAAGACGAACAACCCATTGGAAGGCAACGATCAAAATAGAATTTACCTTCCCATTCTAAACCGAGCAAGTCAAAATCTCGAGGGTGGAGAGGTATTATGCGGAAAGCCGACTTCATGTCAGTTTTTGCAAGGAAACACCCAGCACCTCAGGAGCTGATTTTCTTAATGGCGTCATCGATAGTAGCGTAATGTACAGAAGTTAGCTCCCGAGGAATACCGTCATTTACGGAAGAACCTTCCGGAAAAGACAAGTGATGTATGAGACGGAATTCCCCAGGAGCTTTTTTAGGAACCAGGCCAAGAGGGGAAATTCGAAAATTCTCAAAGGGAGGCGTGTCAAAAGGACCAATTATTCGCCCTGACAATACCTCCTTATTAAGCTTATCAGTAACTTCCCGTGGGTTTTCAAAAGCACTCTTTAGATTTTTGGATCGAAAGTTGAATTTATCCCCAAAATATCGAATAGAAAAACCAAAACGAAAGCCATTTACGAGATAAGTCGCTATGGCCGGATCATACCCTCTAAGGAGCGGTTCCAGCCTGTGCGGCCTTACTGGAGTTGAACCGCAATTTAAGTGGGGCGGATCCTTTTTTGTCCTCTCCACTTGAGGATGCATGCTGGACACTGGGCTTGGCATCACATTGAGTGGCGGGATGCGTGGCACCGCACTTAAAACAAGTGTGCTTGAATCGACAGCCGGCACAGAATTCGCCGGAGTGAAATTTCCAGCACACACCTTTTGGAAAGGACAGAAATGGCCGGGTTTGGGGTTTTTTATTCCGTGTATTCTCCGGTGGAGATTTTGATGTCACGTGAATGGCCTGATTCCAAAGTTCCCACATTACCCTGTCCCAGGGAAATTTCTCTGGATTTGTTTGACGCAAATAGCGGAATTGCTGGTCGTAATAACGGCAGTTTCCCGACTTATTAGCAATATCTCTGACAACTTCACAATATTTAAGCAAAGCCGCAACCTTTAGCGGGTATTTCACTGTATAAACAGCCACAAAGGTATTAAAAGTCGTCTGCCATTGCCCCAAGGATAAAAACTTAGGCTTTGGTTTGGATGGCTCGAGGCGAAGACTTGGCGATTTTCCGTCATTGTTAAAAGAGAGAATAAATTTATCATCGTCGGATAGTAGCGCCCCAAAATCAATGAATTCATCGGCCCAGATCTTTGCCTTGAGCTTAGCCGAAACCCGTGCCTCCAAATCAATTGCTACGCTCGTGAAGTTCACTTCACTAGGTTTGTCATTGGAATTTGAGATTGACATACCCGCCTACAGGAATGAAATGCTGGCTATCTCGGCAGCTGTGGCGGTCTCCACTGTGGCTGAGGCATCTACAGGCCCAGGACTTGGGTTAACCGTGGGGGGACTGGATAATGGGGTCGTTTGCCCAACTCCAACTGCTTTCAGGGCCTCTGTCACTGCCAATGTGACCACGCTCGTTAAGTCCACGAGGTTCACAGGTTCAGCTGTTTGTTGCGCTGCTGAAACCTCGGCCAGGTCACTCGAGGCACTAGAGGATGGGGTCGCTCGTTTTGTGATCTTGGCAGCTGACCTACCCGCCTGTCTAGCTGATTTTCTTTTAGGAGGCATGACTTAAATAAACCGCACAACATTAATGACCAGTAACGCATGACTAAGACCAATAACATAAGTAATTAAACAAAGCATAGTAAAGAGAGTAAAAAACGGGTTGCAGTCAGCCGGCCAAATTTTGGTGTACGCAACGGATCGAATGCAATAGAGGAAAAATGTGGATATATGATACATGGACACAAAACAATAGTGATAGGCGCACCAAGGTTCACCGGGCGCAAAAATTATGTGTCGGGTATCACTATATCAAAAAATAAACATGTGACTTGAGGCAAAAATTCTGACAGGCCTGTCTCAAGCGACAAACAAAATATAGAGGATATGGTGCATGGACATATTGAGGACAAACGTCCTATAATGGCCTGAGTGCACTGGGCACACTATCGTGATAGCCGCCAAAAAATAAGTACACTAATTACGCCATGTGTCGGGCACCGATAACTCATAAGTAAAATTGGCACTAGTCAGGCTATAAGCGAAAAATGCCTCACTCGTCACTATATATTACAACGACATAAGTATGCACTTAGGAATTCATCAAATTGTGAAATTATCAGCCCACTAGGCCTGCGGCCTTAATGACTGCACCCCGGATACTTCGAAACAACTTTAAGTTCCCTAAATCATTTAAGTGAACTCCATCCGGTAAGTAAATGTTTTCCCGGGAGTTCCAGAAACCCCTGTGTTTCCAGTATAAGCAGTAAGGTATTGGTTCGAGAACAGCCTTAAGATACAAATGAAGTTTGGTAACTTTTAAATTGTACGCAGTACACTGAGGGGAGTGCCGCCGAATAACTTGGCATACTGCAATGCTTTTCACATTAAACTCGTCGTGCAGATAGCGCACTAAAGTTTCAAGCTCCGAACCGACGGTTTGTGCCGGCAGTTTGGTTAAGTCGTTAGAACCCAACTCCAAGACTATAATATCAGGACCTAGACGGCGAATTATGCCTAAATCAAACTTCCGAACCTTCGCAATTGTGCGGCCACCTACACCATGAAAACGTATGGACCCTAGAGATGAGAGTTTGGCCATGAGGTGCTCGTGCCCCCTTTTCTGCAAAAACCCAGCAAGACGACGAATAAAGGAGTGTCCCAAGATTAAAATTTGAGGTGAAGCTATGTACCCAACAACAATAAGACGAAAATAAAAACCAGGACAAAATGATGAAACTTGCCTGATAAACTGGGAACAAAAATGAGTTGCGATAGGCTATCACTTTCGCTGAGATGTGCTCGCGGAGCTTGTTCGCAGAAAAAGGGGAAGAACTTACTTGTCGCAGCCTTTACATAGCTGATGTCTCTCCACGTGACATAAAAAAAAACCGTGTAATAGACCGCAGCGGCCACCCAGAGAACTGCTTATCGCAATGCCGCTCCTTGGCTGTTATCTACTGATAAGCTTATCTTTGGTCCCAACATAAAAACCATTATGTTCCTTCCGTTACATAATGCTGGCCTTTATACACTAGATTGGATAAGACTTGTACTTTAATCTGTGTTTTTAGAAAATGAGAGAGTATGGAAAAATCAGTATAAGACTGGAAGACTTTCCAGCAGGGGCAAGATTTAAATCACTGTATTGTACAAAATACATTACCTTGCAGAGATGAATATAGTTTCATAAATTTTATCATATTTCGACAAGCCAAACTAGCCCTTGTCACGAGTGTAAGGCGTTGGAAACACAATGACACAATTTAAAAATATGAGGAGGTTCACTGAGGTCATTATTTGATTGATAATAACTGACTTTCACGAGTTTTCACGCGCGGTTAATTGACTATTGTCTATGCGAGAAAGCTAGCGAACGAAATACACGAATGCGTACTTCTGTTCCCTGTGTCACTTTCAGTGACGGTTGCAATTTTGTCACGTGCACTCTCGTATTTCTCTCGCTATGCTATCATTGCTGAGAAAATTTCACAATTTCACAAATCATTTATTGTATACAGTCTGTCAAACCTCTTACGAAAACAAAAGGAGCAGATTTCAGAGGTGCTCTTACTATAGAGGTAGTAAAAGTATGAAAGTTGGTATCTTTGAGACCAAGAGAACTACCCATAAAAAAATCTAGAGTTGTTCATATTAGAGAGTTTTTCACAAGGAGGGTTTTAACTGTATTTTTTCTATTTATTTCCTTATCGCGTAGCAAGTAAAAAGAGGAGGACAAACAGTGTACCCATTTTATGGCCAGTGGCTCCTGGTCCAAACAGAATATCCTCTCACCCGTTCCAAGAGGCCCTGTATTTCTAAGAGGAATATAGCCATTTGACTTGGCATAAGTGCATTGCCCACTGCCATTCACGGCATGATCATATCTGGCAAAGGATAGCCAAAATGAATAACAAGGGAGCGATCCGCTATTACAACGGCACAGATGCATTATACACCTTGTTCAATAACGGAATTCTGGAGATCAGAAATGTGACCGTCGCCGATAATTATACGGAATACCGAAGCGAAGTGGGTAGTACACGGGACTTGGACCCAGAACACATATTGCTTCTCTACGATGAAAATGAAGGTAAAAAAGTCCTCACAAGCTTTTTTTTTGGCTAAGTACTTAATTAGATCTAAGTTTCATTGCTTTAGATGATAAAAGTTATAGCATTCGTCAATATATAATTATACGTTTTTCAGATTAACAGGTGAAAGCAAAATGCTGCGTTCCTCATTTAACAGAACAACGTGCTCACAGAAAAAAAAAATAGACAAAAGCAAACAAACAAACAAACCAATTAAGAAGTTTGCCATATTGCTATTCAGGTAATCCACAGGGTAAGAAAGTCTTCTACATGGAATGAAAGCATGTTTGGCAGGGACAAGTTAGACCCTTCTTTTTAGTTTTTAAATATATAGTGCTATTGAGGGAGAACATTCAGTTGCACCACGACAAAATGTCGTAAATAATTCAACTTGTTATATTTTTTTAGTGAATCATCGCGCAAAGTATTATTAATGACCCAGATTTTTCAGTGTACCATGCCTCATTCACCATATCCCAACTGTCACAAAGCTAATACCTGGCCTGCGAACACTAAACGGCTCTCAACATAAGCTAACTAGAAGCTGTGCTCTGTCGTTTTTCTTTTTTACTTACTACTGCTAATAAATGAATAAATTATCCTTTGATTCCACCAACAGCCGAAACATGCCTCCAAACCAGAATAAACGCAAGCAGCCCCAAAATCCACAGTAACAGTACCGATGCATCAGGAAACGCAAAGCCTTGCAATTCACTGCTAGGTAAACACAAATTTATTTTTTATGACGTCACGCCTTAGAACTCTATAGCTAAGATAATTTGGTAATCTATCCATCCGAGAAAATTTGGTTATGACGTCATCGTATGACCGAACGCTGACCGTAACAGACTCTGGGAGAGGGAGAAGGAAGTCAGGAGCCAGCCCGTCGGGGGCGGAGTATGTTTTAGCGTAGCCTTATGGCTAAGAAGATTTGCGCTTTTAGCCCTTGGTAAATCTATATGTTAAAAATATTACTTGCTATGGGTGGTATGATGTAGAACACCGAGGGGAGAGGGCTACTGCGGGAATCCTTTTATGGTTGTGTGCTACTAGGACCCATGTTCAGTTGCACTTATCAACCCTATAATGTAGGCACCAAAATCCCTGCCGTATCCCAGACGTAATATTAACGACAACCATTTGCTAATGCTTTCGTGGTGAAAGTTGTTGAAAACCATTCATCGCTTTTTTTCTTACATGATTCCCCATTTCCATGTTAAACCCTTATTTCTATCCTCTATGCTAAAGTGCTTGAAAACCCTACATTCACGGCGTCAGTATCGTTTTAGAGTATTCATGGCAGATCTACTACTCTTCTCCCCCTCACACAGGTAGGTATGGTCCCCTCAGTCAAAGTTATATTTCACGGTTGTAAATCTAATAAACCGAACTTAGTTTGAAAGGCAATCAGTCGATCTGACGGTATCGGCAAAGAAGAGACTTTAATGCGGATACTTCTAAAACGGACGGTTGGAGCCTTTTCAGTCCCAGTAGAGTCCGTCTTAGAGAGAATTGACTGTATTTTGATGTACCACGTATTGATTAATAATGGTAATTGAACTGAGTGAACAGAAACTTGGTCTGAACTCTTATACGTGATTTCGAAAGCGAGAGGGCAGCACGATTTTGACTTGAAAGTACTAGATCGTACGATTTTGGACCAGAATTGCACGACACGAAGTTCCGATTACCACTTTATTACATCCTTTTTTAAACCACACAATTCAGTTGCCCAAATAAAGGATTTTAGTCAGTACTAATATTTTCTTGATCCAGCAGCCAGTTTGTTCAAAAGTGGACCCGGGAACGCTTTTAAAACTCATTTTAAAGGCGAAAGAGAAATGATGTGATTTAGAACCTTTACAACTGATGTGATTTAGAGCAAATCAAAAACTTATTACTGATATTCAGTCTACTAGGCATATTGTGCCAATAGACTTCGCGAGTTCAATTACGTGTAAGGACCTTTATACCCGTTAAAACTCAACAAACTTAAAGGTTAGGGGAAGCTTTAAATTTGAATTCAGTATCAGAGGAAATACGAGATTGCATGACTGAAAGAATGGATTACTGATTAGGATAAACATTTTATATAAAGACTAGTAATAACCAAAGGTTATGTGCGGCCGACAACGATCTAAGGTCAAAACGCTTTTGCTTTAGCACTGTGCTTTTCGTACGTTTCACGTGACAGATGGTCAAAACACGCGTGATTAGATTACGAGTGATAGATCGAAGGTCCAAACGCGCGTGATAAAAGTGCGTTCTGTGCATTCAATACATTCTAAGTGGAAGTCTCAGCGAATTCTGGCTACATAAACGCGACGCTGGCGTAATAACAACCTGGAGATTAGGATTGCTGGCTCCTCTTGTCGCCCACAAATACGGAAAACGTATTAATTTAAAGCGTCTTAATAACTTGCTAATTTTGGTCGATTGGGTCCTGTTTCCAAGCAAAAAGTAAAGCCTTAGAAATTTTTTTCCAGAACAATTCTTTCCAAAATTTTTGTGCTAAGCTGAACACAAGACTTTTACCAGAGCAACTCCGTTAGTTGCCCCTAAAATGGTTAGCTTTGCGCTAAAACGAAACGCAACGTGTATGTCTGGGACTCTCTTCTCTGCCCTGCTGAATTGTTCACCCCTACCTTAGAGTCTGTACGGACGACGTACGACATACGCTGACGTCATAACCAAATTTTCCGGCATCGATTGGTCTTCATTTTCTATAGCTATGGGGATCCGCTGCGCGCGCTTCGCGCGCGCGAATGCTCCATTAAAAAGTAAAATATTCATAAACATCTCCACGCAAAAAATAAATAAATAAATAAATAAAATAAAATAGTGTCACAACACACCTCTATAGTGTACGTAATTTCCCTCGGTCATCTTAGTCTCTACAACGGTAACCTACCGCTGTCCTTAAGCGGCCGTTGTAGACGGATTCGACTGAAGTACCAACCAGCTAAGCTCATATGCTGCCCTTGGAATCCCAAGGAGACAGCTTGTTCGTATAATGGTAGTGATATTTATCCCGGGCATTTTCTCTACTATTCCTCCACAGGTTGGAAAGTCGCCTTTGTAGTAGTACTTTGCGTAGCAGTGGCTGAATTTGTATTCATTTTCTGGAAAGCTCGTCAAGCCCGTCAAGTCGGTGGAGGTGGTGGAGCTAATGACGGCGACTCTCTAATGTAACCAGGGTGAAAATTTAGCCCAATTAACAATACTCTAGTACCAGTATTAGATCTTCAGTGATCGCTGCGGGTTCCCAGAGCTACGTGAACTACGTGAACTTAATAAATTTGCAATATAAATATGATATTGAATCTAAAGTCCTGCGCACAGTTTTTATTCTGATGATCACTGTCAGGGATGAATCAAAGCTTCTAATCCAGGCCAAGTTTTCCTTTTGCTTAATTCTTTCAATGGAGACGAGATGTTATCATCTGTTTGAGTCCTTCGATGTAATTCTTTGCCCTGGGAAGTAGGTATGTTCCCGTTAGATTAACACATCAAGGGAAGGAAGTATGAGCAAAAGCTATATTAAGAAACTACACAAAAATTCGCGGTAAAATTTCAGTAATAGACTTCAATGAAAGTTGTTGAAAGTGGTTAGTTTCATTTTCTGCGCTTTTCGTTTGCTTTGTCTATTCTCCTCCTAGTGTAGCTTCCTGCCCGAGATAGAGTGCTCCATGCCTCCATCGCATCTGGATAGTCTGCACGCAATAGAGTGCCTAATAGAGCATATCTTTATTATTATCGCTAAGAGAAAGGAAAAAATATTGTAATATAATGAAGCTCATATTTCTATTAAATTAAAAGAATAATCGTAAAATCATTTTCACACCATTTTGAAGTAGTTATTAAAGTGGAATGGTTATGAAACCCGTTAGACTCTTGTCATACGTCTTTGTTAACTTTTTTGGACCTGACGGTGCACAACGTTAAGTTTTTTATAGAATTCCTATCATTTTGAACTTACTTACCACTATTTCTTCAGTCACAATTTTTGAACTAACAAAAAACACGGTAGGGGAGCTTTCAATTTCAACATAAACCGCACGGCTTCCCTAACCAGATCTCCTCTACTAACTATGGTATTTAAGCAATAGAAAACGTTTTCCGTGTTTGCATAGCCTGATATAAACACTCGAGGGGTTGGGAGAATTCGAGACAGTTATGCAAACCCGAGACGAAGTCCAGGGTTTGCATAACTGTTGAGTGTTTATATCAGGCTATGCAAAAACAAGAAAAAAGTTTTCTATTGCTTTTATAAAATAACTTTCCCGAGAAAAACGCAATACTCTTTGTTATGGCACTGATTAAAAAGAGAAATTCTTACCACTCGCAAAGTCTTGTACACAAGGGCTTGCACGCGTAATCAGTTCTTGTTTTGCAAAAGGATGCTTTCCAAAATACGGATTTTAAGCTTAAGCGAAAACAAAATTGACACAGCTTGTTTGTACAGATGTTCCAAGTTTCAGCTGACGAAGGAATATGTAAATATAGCAAACTTGTCGAGTTTTGAACTCAAAAACGTTTTCAAATTTGTGCTTGCGTGATTAGCGCGCGAAAAACAAAACATCTTGACGTCACAACCATGCTTACACACTCTCATGCAAACACTCCTCTCGGCCAATCAGAGCGCGCGCACTATCTTAGTTATTTTATAAATAGTATTCGGTTTAAAGGCAATTAGGTATTCGGTATATCAACTCAAAGATTTTACAATTAACAGACAGCGTTTTCTCGTTTCATGAAATTGACCACGTTACCAGTTTTTCTTTATTATTTTAACTTCGTAAATCGAAAGTTACAGGTCTTGACAATGTTTCTACCAAGCTTCTGCAGACTGAGAAGGTCCTGATTTGATTTCTGAATCATTGTCGTGTTTATTTAATCTGTCACCTAATAGGAGGATATTTCCCAATGAGTGGAAAGCGTTATTTTAGGCACCTTGTTATTTTTATTGTTCAAAAATGACTTGCCCAATTATCTCCGTAGTCTCAACCGAGAATGTATGCCGACAATACAAGCATTACCTACGCCAGTAGTGACATCAACGATATTAATAAGCTGCTTAATTATGATCTGATTAAGGTCTATGTTTCAATTGATTGATGGTCCGCTTGAGTTCATTCTTTGGATTGCTTGTTGTAATTTACAAGCTAAGTAAGCTTATATTTCGATTCTTGAAGACTTCCTCAAGGACTGAAGTCCTTAATAAAGGTGTATTATTGAACTGAATGGATGCTAGTTACATCATAACGAGCCGCACCGTCTTAGCAACCAAAAAAATTTTGTTTATCAAGCTGAGATAGGGGACTAAAAGTCCCCTATCTCAGCTGGATACTCAGAAGCTTGTAACATTCACTATTCCATTTATCTCTGATCATATTTCGCATCTAATACGATAGAGGCGTCAATTTTCGCGCCATCATGTCATCATTCTAGGGCGAGAAATTTAATTAAAGCGCGGCATTAAACAAATGTACGGCTCAAGTTTCGGCTAAAATTATTCAGTGCCGTCAAAGAAAAAAACATATTATTAAGGTCTGCGTATAAAGTCGATCACATTGGTAACACAGACAAAAACGCTTAAATATCTCCTACAAAATGAACGGCTGAGTTTGGTTTTTCTACGGGTCAAACTGCTACTATATATCCCAGAAGCGCTCAGGCATAATAATATGCCAGGACTTCTACCTGGATGAACCAGAAAGGATATAGAACAACTGCCTAATTTTTTTTTACGTTTACGGGTTGAAATGTTAAACGTGTTATATATCCTAGAAGCGCTCAGGCATAATAATAACATGCCAGGACTTCTACCTGGATGAACCAGAAAGGATATAGAACAACTGCCTAAATTTTTTTTTACGGCTACGGGTTGAAATGCTAAACGTGTTATATATCCTAGAAGCGCTCAGGCATAATGATATCATGCCAGGACTTCTACCTGGATGAACCAGAAAGGATATAGAACAACTACCTAATTGTTTTTTACGGCTACGGGTTGAAATGCTAAACGTGTTATATATCCTAGAAGCGCTCAGGCATAATGATATCATGTTAGGACTTCTACCTGGATGAACCAGAAAGGATATAGAACAACTGCCTAATTGTTTTTTACGGCTACGGGTTGAAATGCTAAACGTGTTATATATCCTAGAAGCGCTCAGGCATAATGATATCATGCCAGGACTTCTACCTGGATGAACCAGAAAGGATATAGAACAACTACCTAATTGTTTTTTACGGCTACGGGTTGAAATGCTAAACGTGTTATATATCCTAGAAGCGCTCAGGCATAATAATATGCCAGGACTTCTACCTGGATGAACCAGAAAGGATATAGAACAACTGCCTAAATTTTTTTTTACGGCTACGGGTCGAAATGCTAAACGTGTTATATATCCTAGAAGCGCTCAGGCATAATGATATCATGTTAGGACTTCTACCTGGATGAACCAGAAAGGATATAGAACAACTGCCTAATTGTTTTTTACGGCTACGGGTTGAAATGCTAAACGTGTTATATATCCTAGAAGCGCTCAGGCATAATGATATCACGCCAGGACTTCTACCTGGATGAACCAGAAAGGATATAGAACAACTGCCTAAATTTTTTTTTACGGCTACGGGTCGAAATGCTAAACGTGTTATATATCCTAGAAGCGCTCAGGCATAATGATATCATGCCAGGACTTCTACCTGGATGAACCAGAAAGGATATAGAACAACTGCCTAATTGTTTTTTACGGCTACGGATCGAAATGCTAAACGTGCTATATATCCTAGAAGCGCTCAGGCATAATGATATCATGCCAGGACTTCTACCTGGATGAACCAGAAAGGATATAGAACAACTGCCTAAATTTTTTTTTACGGCTACGGGTCGAAATGCTAAACGTGTTATATATCCTAGAAGCGCTCAGGCATAATGATATCATGCCAGGACTTCTACCTGGATGAACCAGAAAGGATATAGAACAACTGCCTAATTGTTTTTTACGGCTACGGGTCGAAATGATAAAGGTGTTATATATCCTAGAAGCGCTCAGGCATAATGATATCATGCCAGGACTTCTACCTGGATGAACCAGAAAGGATATAGAACAACTGCCTAAATTTTTTTTTACGGCTACGGGTCGAAATGCTAAACGTGTTATATATCCTAGAAGCGCTCAGGCATAATGATATCATGCCAGGACTTCTACCTGGATGAACCAGAAAGGATATAGAACAACTGCCTAATTTTTTTTTACGGCTACGGGTCGAAATGATAAACGTGTTATATATCCTAGAAGCGCTCAGGCATAATGATATCATGCCAGGACTTCTACCTGGATGAACCAGAAAGGATATAGAACAACTACCTAAATTTTTTTTTACGGCTACGGGTCGAAATGCTAAACGTGTTATATATCCTAGAAGCGCTCAGGCATAATGATATCATGCCAGGACTTCTACCTGGGTGAACCAGAAAGGATATAGAACAACTACCTAATTGTTTTTTACGGCTACGGGTTGAAATGCTAAACGTGTTATATATCCTAGAAGCGCTCAGGCATAATAATATGCCAGGACTTCTACCTGGATGAACCAGAAAGGATATAGAACAACTGCCTTTTTCTTCTACCCGTCGAAGTTCTAAACGTGTTATTCTTAGAAGCGCTCAGGCTTAATAATATGCCAGGTTTCCAGCGACTGATTTTAGCTGATTTTGCGGTGCGCAAGAATGGATAATTTACCCGACTTGTAAACAGATATTTCCTTCAGCCGATTGTGTCTCATGCAGGAGAATGTCATGTCTGCGTTGTTTTGTTTCTACTGAAGTTTTATCAAAGAAAGCTTAAGCGAAAATAGGGAGATCGCAATTTATACTCTTACGAAGTATAAATTAGGGCTGACCTGGAAGACGCGTTGAATTGTGCCGCCATCCTTCAAAATATAACCTGGCTGCGTTTAGGGAGACAATTTCCTCTTCCATCCAGATGTACTTGGTATATGTGTTTGCGCGAATCTTCAGACAAAGAATTGGGTATACACTGATTCGAATGGCTTGGCGATACTAAGTGCTTAAGTCTACTTACCGATTACAACATGTTTTGGAAGTATTGAGAAGCGCGCCAAACGAAGTTGTCACAGCGTTCTCG